CCCTATCTGAATCTCTCACACCATTCACTCCCCTTATATACAACAGCTCCACCCCTTATGTCCCACCCTCCATCACGCCATTGGTAGATGACACACAGCTTCAGTAGTGATGGGCAGGTGATGTCATAGCTGTATGTAACAGTAACCACTTCTGTCCATCACAATGGAACCCTGATTTAACAACCAATGGGTGAACAGAAGAGGCGGAACTAAGGAAATATAAGAAGAATGGAAGACAGTTAAATATCAGTTAGGGATATGAGTTAGAGGTTAGAAGTTAGAGTTAGGAACTTCAGTTAGGGATGTCAGTTAGAGAGAAGCAATATAAACAGTTAGGACCAGCCTGGTGTTAAGGAAGAATAGAGAAATAGAGCAGTGGTTCTTAACCTTTGTTACTCGGATGTTTTTGAACTGCAACTCCCAGAAACCCCAGCCAGCACAGTTGGTGGTGAAGGCTTCTGGGAGTTGCAGTCCAAAACTCCTGAGTAACCCAAGGTTAAGAACCAGTGAAATAGAGTACAAGATAAGAAATGAATAAATACCTTGATTAAAATGATTCTACCTAAGCAAATATAAATGTTAACAAAGCATAAGTTATTGAATGAATAAAATAAGACCATCCATGATTTACTTGATATGATTTACTGATAAACACATAAACAAACATTGTTATATTGGAGAACTGGGATTTAAGAGTCATATTTAATAGAGTGAGGAATAAATTCTCTGGTGGCAGCGGAAAAGGGTTGAGAAATAAATGTCATACCCGAAAGTGAACCTGGGTTGTGTGGAAGAACAAACAGGGGAACTGGGCGTGTGTGACAGGTGACAATAACAATATATTTTGAAATATGTTGTGTTCTGCCTACATGGAAGAAACAAATATAAAATAGGCTTTGTTCTGTTCTACTAGATACCAAGATTCCTTTCCTTTTTGTTTGCTCCTTGTTCCTTGTTGGCTGTGGCTCCTTGGTTCCGACAGCAGCAAACAAGCAGAAGCAGAAGCAGGAAAGGAAAAGGAAAGGGAGAGGGAGGGAATGAGCAACAGACCGTCAAGACAGACGGATGGATGGGCACAAGCTCTCCGTGGTAGGCTGCAAAAGGAGACAGGGGAGGGGAGCGCACATGAGAAGGCTGTTCTCTCGGCATCACCCCCTCCCACAGCACGTCTGGGCAGGGAGCGGAGGAGTGCCAGGCGGAAGGAAGGGAGAAGCATGCGGCCAGGTTGCGAGCGGGGCCGTCCTTCACCTCAGCTGCAGAGAGAACAAGGTGACAGCAGCAGCAGCCTCGGGTGACCCGTGAACAGCGGGGGGGGAGAGACTTAAAAGCAGAAGCCCCGGGGGCACCAAACCCCTGAGGGAGAAGACTGCCAGGCAGGGAGGGGGCTCCCCCGCTGGACGCGTGGGTGCTTCGGGGGGCAGGTGGGACCCAGGCCCTACAAGGCAGGGAGGAAGCCCCGTGCTCGCCAAGTAGGTGCACCACCGCCGCTCCCACTCCAGTTTGGGCTGAAATTAGAAGCAAGGCAGATTTTGAGGTGTGGGTGTGTCACGCTTGCGGGTGGGCATGTCATGCTTGCGGGTGGGCATGTTGCACTCGTGCGCATGCACACAAGCATGACACGCCCCTCCTCAAGCACAGCATGCCCACCCATGAGCGTGACATGCCCCTCTGCAAGCATGACATGCCCCCTCTGCGTGCACGTGGGGGGCTGGAGATCCATGTCTGTGGCCCAGTTAAAAGAAGCGCATGGACCAGCGCAAGGCTGCGGACCGGGGGTTGGGGACCCCTAGTTCATAGCATAATAATGCAAACAACTTGCTCCCCAGAAAGTTGGGTACTTATTTTACCAACTTTGGAAGGATGGAAGGCTGAGTCAACCTTGAGTCAACTACCTGAACCTGTCAGGATACAGTTCAGGTTGTGAGCAGAGGCTTGACTGCAGTACTGCATTTTAACCACTGCACTATGAGGCTCTTGTTAATAGTTTGGTAGAAAGGGAAATTTCAACAACCAGAGCTTGTCATGCAGTGTGGGCCCTGTCCTCTTTTGCACTCGGCCACCTCATCAAAAATTCTCCAGTACCTGATATGGGGGAAATTAAGTGGAAGAGCACAACTCCTCTACTGGCCCTGAGATTCTGGAAATACTAGTTCAAATATGTAACCTTCCCCATTTCTTATTCCTGATCTCAACTGTATTTTGTAAGTAGTCTCAAAGTTTTTTTTTTCTGCACTACCCTTGTACAAACAGGCTGGAATTTGAATTCTGTCTTGCTTATCTGAGGGAGTGGCTGAGGAAATAATTTTTAGAACCCTGCATCTCCCACCCTTTTTAGACTTTTTAGTCTCAAACACATGTGTAGGCATGTCCCATGAAGTATGCACACCTTGTCACATCCACAGATTCTATTTAGGAAACTGGTGCCTAACCAGTAGGAAAGGACCCTGGCTGAAACTGCCATACCTCCCCAGGTGTCTAGGTGAGGAATCTGAACTCCATGGGCTGATGGATGCTGGATGGAAATTTTATGGTTTCTAGCACCATCATAGGGCCTTAAAATGTACATGTCACATGTGTTGTAGGTAAGGCCGTATGGGAAGTGAGACCTACTAGGAATGATGGTAAGAGCTACAGCTGCTGGGGACATGTTGTTGCCTACCTGCCTGGCTGGCAATACTGAGCTCTTAACCTGGCTCTGGATTGCCAAGTGAACCAAACATCCAATTTGATCTAGATGTTGGATCCTTATTACCTGGGCTATCCCTTGTACCCCATCCTACAATCAACTGGTCAGAAAGAGTTCTAGACCAGCCACCCAGTTTTTGCTGATCCCTCTGACCCTATGATGTCACCAGCGTCCAACCCTTAGTCTTAGATTTGGCCCTGAAATCTCATGGAACGTTATGCTGCAGATCGGCACAAATATATCCACCATCATCTTGGTTTCTACGTCTACTTATCGGGTAATCAAATGTGGATTCATCCCCTGAAAATAAGCCCTAATGCATTTTTGGAGCAGAAATTAATATAAGACCCTCTCTTATTTTGGGGGAAACACGGTACAACAAGCCATTCTTTGTTTAATAACACTAGACTGAAGCTGTCAACCAGTTATGCTGCAACTGAAAGAGCATTTTATGGTGTATTAAATTACTTGCTTAGCCTATCCATCAGACTGCATCTCTGCTTACCATTTTAGCATTGTTTGTTTGTCTATAACTGGATGGCACTATTTGTCCTCTTCAAATCAAAATCATTTTCCATCAGATCTGAGTATGTAAACAGAAAACATTTATTGGGGGGGGAAGGTCTTTTGTGATGGAACATTCAGAACCGGGATCACACATATCACCCAAGTGATTATGTCTATTACATAAACACATCCACCACCATTTGGGTTGTTACTGGCATTTTTTTAATATGTTATTTGTTTGACCCTTCTTACATTTGTATGTTCAGTATTATTACCTTTAAATACTGTATACTGTCTTATAATGATGCAAGCTGCCTTGAGTCCTTTAAAGGAGAAAGATGGAGTAAAATATTTTAAATAAATAAATACTTTTTCCATTTTGCATTATAAGGACATAATAATATAACCAATAACAGTTTGCAACCACTTCAGTCCAGTGAATCACTTACTGTAGTTTGTCTGCTCTAGACACATACTCGCACAGCAAGAGAAGACTTTTATCTCTTCCTAGTGTGTTGTATAATATTTTTCTTTAGCAATAAAATTAACACATGGGACTTAGGAGAAGCAACGTTTGTATTGCAAATGTGACACGGCTAGCTGGTGATGACAGAAGCTGTAGTTCAACATATCCAAAAGATTCTAGATGGGGAGAGAATGTTGTATGTACAAAGAAACAGAGTTGCAGATCAGCATCTTGAAGGAGAGGTTTTGTGGTCTCAGTCCACATAAGGAGGCTATGCAGAATGAGCACAGAAAGAAGCCTGGTCCTTGCCTTAAAAGTGCAGCACTACATAATCTTGTGTCTGTAAAGGAGGGAAGATACTGCTGTGAAAAAATGCAGTTTCCATATTAGGCACCATTCCCCAAAAGAACTGAAACTTACATTGTCATGCTGCATTTATATGAATCTGTGATGGAGCTACATTTGGAATTTAATTAATTACATGCCATCAAGTTGATTCTGAATTATGGCGACCCTTTCCAGGGTTTTCTATGTGTATGCTTAGAAGTTGTTTACCATTCTTTTCTTATGGAAGTGCTCTGAGATGATGCAGGTTGCCCAAGAGGCTGGCTCCTTTTCCTGGAAGGCACCGTGGGGAACTGAACTCCTGACTTCCAGCTCCAGAGCCAGGTACCCAACTCTAGAGTGCTCTAAAACTTGTAGAACATATATATGTAGAATAGGGTCCCCCTTTCAGATCTTCCCTCCAATCTGTTGACAGCAGCCAGCCAGAGATGTGACAGGCTGTGGAACAACCATGGAAAGCTTTGTTGTCCTGCTTACATGATTGCAACTGCACTGAGAGGGACCATCCAGATTAGGTTTCTCTGATATTACAGCAGTTTAGCCAGCGAGGGCGAGACATAACTGCACTGGAAAATGGTGAGCAACTCCAAAGAGTTTCAGAAGTTTGCCCATTGTTCCCTGACATTTTGTTTGAGCCTACTATAGGTATTGTCCAACACAGATATTGGAGTTTTGAGATCCCCAGTAATTGTACTTCTACAATGACAAGAAACAAATATGTGGAAACATTTTAAAAAGATATTTAATAAGCTCTTTTACAATCAGTACAAAAAAAATTAAATACAAAATTATCTGCTATTTTCATCTCTCTCATCTCTTATCGCAGTAACTGTGACTATTGCTCTCAACCTTCTATGAAACATTTGATTTTCTAGCACCATATATTTATTGTTGCCGTCTTGTACTGATGTTATATTATTTTATTAAACACTGAACTTAAATAATTGAAATAATGCCAGTTTGAGTCCATATTTTTCTGAGTGTGCATAGAAGACCTTGACTTTTCTATGTTAAATATGGAGGCTTCAGTTAAAATGCAGAAGTACTGAATGTTAGATTCATTTCAGGGTTCGAAACTCACATAAAACCACTGGTGTTACAGCATTGAATTGCATCCCTTTATTCTAAACAACCCATGCAACTCGTGTTTTCAAAACTGACAGATAAGCCCCGTTGCTGAGAGGACAGGATCCACCAAAAGGTTAAAGTAGTGAAGTTTATTGTTTGCGGAAATATTAATCCAACTAGATTTGGGGGTGGGCAGCTTTGACAGCTCTAAGGGCCAATTCTGCACCCCTGAGAACCTCCCCAGAGGCCACTAAAAATGGCCAGAAACCCTCCCCAAAAATAACACTTGAGTGGGTGGCAGCCAACTTAATACTTCTGGAAAAAAATGGGGCGGGGGAGAGAGATTAACAGTGTGTGGAGAGACATTGGCCTTTTAAACTGGTGAACTACCATTCTGGGTCAGAATAACGCTGCTATCACCAACAACAACAATCAAACAGCCTGGGGAGGGGTATGTGTCTCCTGGGCTGCATTTTGTTCACCTCTGAACTAGGACCTTTCCTATGGGCACCACAGAAGATCTCTGGAGATCACATTGTCTTACATGAAGGAGAATTCTTGTGGGCCCAAGTTTACAGTGCCTGCCTATATTTCTGTCATAGACAAACTTTAATTTCACTGAGTTAGTTCATTCTAATCTATGAGTGAGTTGAACATGGAGAACAGGTTGAAATGGGTAAAATCCAGAGGTTAGAAGGGTCACTTTTGGGGCTACAAGTCCCCAGATCCTCCAGCCAACATAGCCATTCTGACAGGGCCATTTTGGAAGCTGTGGTCCATAAATTTATCCACTGTAAAGAGCAAATAAACAAGGATAAATCCATGTTAAATATATAGGTATATATGTAACAGTTGGAATTCTACTAGTATTTATGTAAGGCTTGCATAACTTGCTGATGAGGTGCTGGGACATGGTGGCATAATCAGACATGTGACCAGGCATGGAACCTCTGTACTTCATCAGTTAGCTACAACTAGCCACAGCTTGCTATGCAGATCTTACATGAACCTGAATAGGATTCTGGCCATTAAATTCATATTTTTATCATAGCCACCTCCTCAACATTTTAAAGCAAAGCATGAACCGGACAGTTTATATTCTGTGGTTGGAGTATGTTGCTTTCACTTCCAGAGCTGGAAAAATTAAGTTTCTAACTACAAGTGCTATTATCTTGAAGCCAACATGGCTGCTGGCAGATGGGGGATTATAGGAATCAGAATCCAGGAAGTAACTTCCTAAACTCTAGGAAAATCAGAGTGGCTGGGTGAAAGTGTGTACACTCTAGATAAAGTTTTCCCTGGGTTCCAGAAGAGTGGAATTCTGCTCCGTTTTTGGATATTTTACGGTATCTCTTGATTCTGTTGCCCTTTGCAGCAATCAGAACAGAGAGTGGGCCATGTCTGCACACTTGACTCCTATCCAAAACATACTCAGTTCCTACCCAAAACATTGTAACCAAACCTGTAAAACTTACTCCCTTTGGACTGCAACTCCCAAAAGCCCTCAGCAAGAGGAGCTCTGCATTTTGATCTGGGTCAGTCAACTTCTGTATGCCAAACTCCATGCAAGAGTATGGCCAAAATTGTTCTGCTACCTACACATGCACAAGATTCTCTAGCTTGTACATCCTCATAGGCAAATATAGGCCAGGAGGAATGAAAGAGAAATGTGAAATATTTGAATCACTTGTTCTGTTACCTAACATTATCTTCATGCAAATCATTTGCATGAGAGCAAAAGTGAAGCAAAGGCACTGTTCTGAATCATTGCTAGCTATCTTGTCCTTTATTGATTAAGCAGACATAAAAAATGATACATGAATAAACAGCTTCAGTTCTGAGCATATCAAACAATCAGTACTTCATTCTAAATCCCAAAGAAACTAATTTCTTAAAAGTTTGTGGTTTGCAAGCACAAAGGTTTGCAAACATGGGTCATAATCCAGCCAAATATAATTTCTTTAATACTAAATCCAATTGATAGCCCCAGCTAGAAGGCATACCTTGTACAGACAGAATTTCTTATTTGCGCTTGTGTATGTTCCATTCATTAAATGGGTATACTCTAGTCTGAACTAACAAATGCATTTAGCCCGTTGATTTCAATGGCACAGCAGAACTCAGATATCTCAGCCTTTTTTAACTGTCTTCTCTGGACAGGTATACATACCCTCCCCCCCCGCCTTTAGTGCAGTTTTCAGCAAAAAAACATGCCGGAGAGGGAAAAGTCAAAAAGCCAACCCTTTCTACAAGAGTCTTTCACATTTGCTGCCTCTGTGTGAACAACACATGTGTGTTTATTTGGGGTGGAAGGGCAAGTATATGTGAGTCAGTATCTCAATGTAGTTAATGCATATCAATGTGAGCTCTTGGGGAACACCAGTGGAACAGGGCTTGCGTGCTCTCATCCTGCTTTTGGACTTTCCACAGGCAACTGATTGGCTACTGCAGAAACAGAAAAAATGGACAAAACTGGGCCTTTGGTCTGACCCAGGAGAGCTCTTTTTATCAGGCTGGTTGAATGAAGTGGGAGACAAGATGGTGCCACCAATCATTCTATGTACAAAACCCAACAGGCTGGATGTTGACTCTTACTATAATACTGGTGACAAAACAGCAACCTCAACTGCCCCTGAGCGCATCAAGGCAGACTGTATAGCAGAAACGGCACTTCTAATCATTCAGTGCGGGTCTTTTAATCATTCACTTCCTGGTGGTGTCTGCCACCAGAGGCAGAGACTACGCTCTGTGGAATTTTAGGGCCAGCCCTACATCTTACGTGTACTTTTAAGACGTTTGGTTCTAATTATGCCAGTAATTCCATGTGAAATGAAAGTCATCTAAGAGTGCTTTCAGCTAGATCACACCCAGGACCTTGAGCCTATTTCAGTCATGATATCCATGACTCTGATGTTGTATTCATTGTCATAGTTCATAGACTCGAAACTTTTGTTCTGCCATGTATTTTGGATTTCTAATTCCAGAAGTTCCAGTCAGCATGAAAAATGATAAAGAATAGGGGAGTTGGGGGGTGGGTTATAGCCCAGACTATCTGGAGCACCAAGGATTCCACATGCCTACCTTAGTTACATTTGCCTTACCATCCCAATTTCCATGTCCAGAGGTCCAACAGTCAGGCTGTGCGACAACACTGACCATCTGGTGACTACTAACCTGCACTGTATCCGCATTTATTGGCTTCCTATAAGCACATAATCACTTTGTGCTAAACTTCCCTCTAGAGTAATCGATTTTCTATATTCTATACTTTTATATTTATACAAGAACCCACTTCACACTGGAAAAAGCATTGGGAACATTTTCGTTGGATTTTGATCCACCTGGAAAATCAGCCTCTTTACCAGCTGATACTGAAAGCTGGCCTGCCCTAGCATTCTTTGCGAATATACGTTAGAGGGAAATGTCATTTTAAGACAAGATTTGAGGCAATCTTCTGGCTTTTCTAGTGGAATTGCTGAGCCTACTTTATGTCAGTGTTGTCCTTGCTCCCAAGGGGGGGAAAAGTATCTCTAGAAATAAAGTATTATTAAACAAACTCCTCTGTTTCTTTCTTTAGTGTTCCCCAATTAAACCAGATGTTTCAGGTCAACAAATCATTAGAACTAATTGATGAAGAAGGACAAAAATGTCAACTCTGACTTGCCATGATTTTCAATGAAACGAAGGAGGCAAAGGTAGAAAATGTTCCGTGTACAGCTGCAAAAAGGTCTCCACTGGGTTTATAACCACCTTTTCTTCCTTTTTTAAAAGCTGTACATAATGTTTAATTCGGTAATTTTATTTCAATGATTGTACATGTTGGTCCAAAAAAAAAAGGTAATTAAATGCATCTTTCAATGGTATAGGTTTGAAGCACACAAAAAAAGTTCTCATTTTGTCCAAGTGTTTGGTTTACATGGGATACAATAAATATCCTGAAAAAGATGAATGGACGTACTGCCCGGCATAGAGTCCTGCTGCCTGCTCGGAAGGCATCTGGATATAAACTCTATCTCCTTGCATCAGCTGAACAACAGCACTCCCAGAGGCTTGGTCCAGGAAACCTTTCTTGTATTCATCATAAGTATACATCAAAGGCTCATTGTTCTTGAACAAAGCCACCCAGACGTTTCCCCCTTTGCAGTGCACGTGGTAGGCAAAGTAGTAGATCCCAGGGATTTCACAGGTAAAGACGCCAGTTTGTGGATTATAGTTCTGCCTGCCATTGTACAGGAGCTTGTCAAACATCACAGGCACCCCAACCCGCGGGAAAGGAGTGGTGAGCTCAGCTGTGAACGCTGGCATCTCAAAGGCAGCAGCACCATGTTTAGCTTTCTTCCCCATATAGCCATATGGAGTCTTCACTCCATCGAGGCCCGGACCCACTTCAGGCAAGTACTGTCCCATAGCTGGTGGTGTGGGTGGGATTATGACAGGGGGTCCTGGGGGACCAGGTGGGCCTGGAGGTCCCTGGAGACCTTGCTGGCCAGGAGCACCAACTAACCCAGGCTTTCCAGGTGGCCCTTGCATCCCAGCCACACCAGGCTTCCCGACTCCTGGAAAACCTGGTGGGCCTGGAGGACCCCGTTCACCTTTAGCCCCAGGAAGTCCTGGAGGGCCAATGGGGCCACTGGGTCCTGCAATGCCTGGGATTCCAGAAGGGCCTTGGAAGCCTTGAGCTCCTGGGATCCCAGGTTCTCCTTTGGGGCCTGTGGGCCCGTGAGCACCCGGCAGACCTGGCAAACCTTTGTGACCAGCTTCTCCTTTTGGGCCAATGGGACCAGGCAAGCCTCTCAGACCTGGAGGCCCCACATCACCTGGAAAACCAGGCTTTCCTGGGAAACCTTGTAAGCCAAGTTCACCTTTGGGGCCAGTAGGACCTGGAGGCCCAATAACTCCAACTTCTCCTTTAGGACCTGGGAACCCCATAGCACCTGGGGGACCCATTACCCCTGGCAAACCTGGTTGGCCTGGCTCTCCTGGTGGCCCACCCATGCCTGGTGGGCCCACATGCCCCTTTTCGCCTTTAGGACCAAGTGGCCCTGGAGGACCAACCATGCCACGTTCACCTTTAGCTCCAGGAAAACCTGGCTTTCCAATCCCAGGTAAACCAGGAGGTCCTGGTAACCCTGGCAAGCCTTGCTCACCTTTTACACCTGGAAAGCCTGGCTGTCCCGGTATTCCATCCTGGCCTGGTTTTCCTATACCTGGAAGGCCAGGAGGACCTTGAATTCCAGGAGCTCCAGCTAATCCTGGAGGTCCTGGTTCCCCTGGAGGTCCCGATTTACCCATAGGTCCCTGGGGGCCTGGAAAACCAATAATTCCTGGTTTGCCTACCCCAGGAAGTCCAACAGGACCTGGAGGACCAGGTAAACCAGGTGGACCTTTTAGTCCTGGCAATCCTGGAATGCCAATGCCCTTATCTCCTTTGGGACCTGGTGGGCCTTGTATTCCTGGTGGTCCTTTCATTCCTGGTTCTCCCTTTGCTCCAGCCTGTCCTGGCAATCCTCTGTCTCCTGGTTTTCCTATTCCAGGTAATCCATGAGGTCCTGGTGGTCCTTGGGGGCCTGGAATGCCCATCGATCCAATCTCTCCCTTTGGCCCCATCTCGCCTCTTGGTCCGGGAGGTCCCATTGCTCCTGGTTTTCCTGGCATTCCGGGCATGCCTGGTTTGCTAATTCCTGGATACCCTTGTGGACCTGGTTTTCCTTTCGCTCCTGGCACTCCGTGTCCTGGTAACCCGGGAGGTCCGGGTGGGCCTCTTGGTCCAGGCTCCCCGGGAGGACCCCGCTCCCCTCTCAAACTGGCTAGAGGAATTTCCACTTTATGGGAAACAAAAAAAGAGAGAAAAGAAAGTTAACCATCACAATATGTGCCAAGCAGAATGAGTGTAACAAGCCCTAGCTGGATTTGCTGGCAGCGTTGCTGATGCTACCTGGATTAGCTTGCTAAAGTGCAGCATTAAAAAAAAAAAAACACCACTGGGCAGTGGCATGCTGCGAGTCCCAACTGGAACAGACCTGCTGACTCAGGTGGCTTTGGCTAAATGTTGACTTCACATTTAGCAGTGGATGCAGCATGTCTGCTCTTTGTTGGAACTAGCAACAGGATACATTTTAATGCCTTCACCTCCAGTTGCAGATCCCAAATACCTGTTCCAACTTATGTCAATGGCACAGCGTTCCTCTCCTAATCCATTCATAACCTGAAAAGACTCTCTTTTCAGATGATATGTTGTAGCCTCTTCCCATCTCAAAATCTCAAAGAGTCCAGAAACACAGCAAAGCACCCATTAGAAAGGGGTCAGTCTCTTGACATGGTAGGTAGGGAAATGGGATTGAATAGTTAGTGAGTCACTATCCTACTTGGAGAATGTTGGTTCTGCACACAAAAAAGTGGTCTTTTGCCAGATCCATCTATGGAAAGGCTGATGTCCTTGAGTTTTAACAAATATAAACAAATATAAAACTCTGGGTGAAATACCTTGTGATGAGTCGGAAACAGGAACACCAGCTAACTGCAAAGTTGTGTTCTATAGATAAACAACTGCTCAGGCTGAGGAATGGAGTCCTCTCTATTGTCCCTTTACTTTACATGCAGCCACTATTATTTTATCAGTGATACATTAGCTCGTTGCCACACATTTCCTTCCTCCTTTCCTGCCATGCCCTTCTGTCTCTCCTCTCTCTTTCTTCTGCTTTCTTCCCGCATAGTGGGCTGCCAGTGGAGAGAACCATAACTTGCCAATGCAGAGCTTGGAGAGGTACTGTTTTGCACTGCATTTCCCAGAATCCCCACAGCCTGTATGACCAGCCCAAGCAGCTATGGGGGCTGAAACCAAAGCAAGCTTCCTGCATTAATTTCCCAGCTAATTTCAATTTCTGCATGCCATTAGTAACTTAAACAGAATGCTTAACTACTTAATGATTTATTATAAGTGTGAAATCAAAAACTTATTTCCTTTCCTCTTCCTTGGCACAAAGACAGGAAGCAAAACATTTAAATGCAACTTAGAGCAGTGCAGTACTGCTTACATTTTTTTTTAAAAAAGTTCAGAAGTGGGAGGTGAAAAGAGGGGGGCAAGGAAGGAATCTCCATGCCTTTTCTTTACTTTCTTGTAGGATGAGGACGAAAAAGGGGCACTCGAGGTGAGTATGCCATGTGGATCCAATATAATACCACTTGGCATACTGGGTCTCTACCCACTCCAAGTAGCCTGTGTAGCCAAGCCATCCTCAAATAATTTTGACAGGGACAGGCCACTACAATATACTGTTATTGTATTGCAGGGATGGGCAATTAATTTCTATAGGGGGGCACATGGAAAATCTGAACTGTGTTCGGGGGCCGAACCAACTTTAATTAAAAATGAAACGAAACAGTGATGTTATGATTGTTTTTATTTTAAACTTGTTAATCTTCACAAATACTAAAGAGTTTTTTGCAGTATGTTAAAGATAAGCAACTGATCAACTTTAGACAGAAAGCTATAAATGGCTTTGATGTTCAAAACTGTCCATGGGCCAGACAGGAGTGGCTCGCAGGCTATATGTGGCCCTCAGGCCACACTTTGCCCAGGTCTACTGTATTGGGAAAATTCATTATCCCCCAGCAACTTTAAATTTTAAGGATTTATACATAAGCTAAGTAACATAGTATCCCATATTATGAAGGGCAGCAAAATATTTTCTATTAGTCTCAACCCATGTTTTTGCATTTGCAAGAAAAGTATTTGGAAAACTTACGTATACAACACAGCTAAACTACCATAGTTACTGCCTCATTACATTGATTTTCAAAACACAGAACATTTCTGTGGGTTGTCTGTGCCTTTCTGGTCAATCAGCCAGTGCTTCTGTGTTTGCCTGGTGTGCTTGGTCATGCTTCAGAATGAGGAAAATATTTAGTTTTGTGCAAAGACATTTTGAGCAAACTGCAGAAGCCTCATTTAAAAAATAACCCTGCTCACTGTTTTGTTCTCACACTGAAGGCAAGAAATCATGTGGAAGTTAATAAACTTTCGATAGGCTGTTGGGATAGCTTCTTTTGTCAGCCCCGAAAGGGATTTCTTCACATCTGTGCTTTGTACACTAATAAGTAAATGTACCTATTTTCTTCAGTCAAATGACAGAGTGGGATGTTAATCCAGAAAAAGGGTTGGAGGGAAAAGACAGGACATATTGTCTGCCAGTGTTACCTTTCTCCTTCTTTGAAACCCTTTCCTTTCCCAGCATGGGGATCTGTGGGATTTCTTTTATATACTGAGGCACATATTCTTTCCCATAGGGAAGCTGTGGCCCCTCATTGCCCATGTGCTGCATTGGAATGCCATCTTTGCCCAAAGGCATGTGAGGTTGTTGTCCAAGAGGCTGATACTGTGGCACTTGGGGAGGCATCTGCTTGATCCCATAATAAGCACCAGCTTGGACGGTTCGCAGTAACACAAGGTAAATGGCTGCCATCACTGCCGGTAGCCATGTGGATGACAACAGCATTGCCGTAACCTGCAACAAACAGACAGACAAATAAATAAATGACCCCAATTTAGTATTTGTTTATTAGTTAATAAGGAGCTCAAACTGGCCCGTCTGGTTCTCCAACACCCACTTTTCCCTTGTGGCAATCCTGCAAGATACACCAGGCTCAAAGAAAATCACTTGCCCAAGTCACCCTCAAGCCCCTAGTTTGACATCCTCTTCACCAGGGATGTTGGGAGGTCTATGGTGCCAAGTTCCAAGCTCCTAGTGGGACTCTCTATTAAAACCAAGCCTTCCCCCCCAGAAAAAAATGGAGGGGTGGCTGGGTTCTGAATCACAAGTCAAGTCTGAATCATAAAAAAAAACTGAGTCAAGTTTGAGTCGAGTCACCCACATGATTGAAGTCCAACTTGATACTGAATCCCACAACTCGATTCCCCATCCCTGCTATTCGCTACTACTAAAAGAAGACTACTAAATTGAAGTGTGTCTGATGAATGACAGCATTTAATGAGTTGTCATCTTCTAAGTTATTACAGTTAGGTACATTTTGCGTCTCCCTCCAGCATATGCTATGAGTGAATATGCTTTTCATCCAGTAGTACTAAGACAGAGAAGGGGAAACTAGAAGTAATATCAGTAAACACACACTAGGTGGAGTACTTGCTACAAGGCTCTAAAATAGGATAGTCTTAAAAAGAGGACTAGTTCATATGAAAGGGCAAGCCACCTTATAAATCCAGTAAGTGATTATAATATAGTAATTTACTCTTAAGGTAAGACTTGGCTTGCAAGAATAGCAGATTTATCCCAGTAGTCAAACATCACAGTGGGAAATATCCTTCTACCTTTAAAAAGCTTGCAAGAATAGCAGATTTATCCCAGTAGTCAAACAATATCACAGTGGAAAATATCCTTCTACCTTCGAAAATATATATAATACTCAGAGGGTGGGGTGCCGGATTAGAAAATCCAAGTACAAAAGCCCGGTGAGACTCTCTCTCTCTCTCTCTCTCTCTCTCTCTCTCTCTCTCTCTCTCTCTCTCTCACACACACACACACACACACACACACACACATACGTAGGATGTTGTAGAGCGAAGCAAGAAAGGGGAGACCCATGCATGTACCCTTCCACTCATAGCAGGAAAGACAGGAAATAATAGCATAACTGCTAAATGAATAAATGCCTTGTATGTCCATGAAGAGGTGATTTGTTTCATTTTAAACAAATAATGTCTTTCAAGGAGATACAAATGTAAAGAATAGACTATGGATAAATCCCCAGTCACTTAGATTCCTTTTAACAAACAAAAAAACATTAAAATGAATTTGAAAAATCACTGAAAAAATATTTTTAAAAGAGCAAGTGTTTCAGGGGACCTATAGGTACAGTATTAAAATAGCTGAGCAATGCACAATTTACCAGTTCCTAATTACACACAGTAACCATTAATGGGTTTAAATATTAAAGTCAACTGACTTCAGGTCTGACATTTCAGGCAAAGGTGACCAGGAATGCATTGAAGAGCACACTTAATGAACCAGGATCCCTCATTTCTCAAAAGTACCTGGAATGTGCAAATGTTGCTCCCCAAAAGCTGGACAAAGATACAGATATTTGATGAAGACCAACAACGCTAAGAACTACTGCCTTAGCCCTGTGCTGCTCCGCTGGGTATGATATAATTCAGCCCATGCAAAGCAGATAGACGTAGCATTCAATGAAGGTTGTAGAATCATTGCTGAATGCCTGAAGCCAGCCCCTATTGATAAAATAAATTACCTAGCAAGTGTTACACCCAGTGACAAACACAGAGAGGTAGCAACTAAGAGTGAAAAAGCATCTACTCCAAAAGCACATCCACCCTTTCGTTAATCATCCCACCCCTCTCAAATTAAAATCAAGGAAAAGATTTTCTTTCTTTCTTTCATAACATATGTGAATCTTGAAGGAACAGTGGAGAATGCCAGGACTATAATTTGGAAATAAAGAATTACCCACCTCTTAAAATGGATGGAGCATGGGAAAAGGTCTAGCCACCAGCCATATGGAGAAATGGGGCTACCTGGAAGTCACTTAATAGGCTATGGACCGGCGTTGGCAGAACCAAGGTGAGGCAAAGGAAGGGTTTTTTCCACACTGACAGAGTTCCTGATTATTACACAGAACAGGTGAGTGTACCCTATATTCTTCAATACGTACTATGGAAGACTTGATGTTAGCTGCCCCCCAGTGATCTTAATGTTGCCTTTTATTAGGTGAAAATTATCTGATAAATATTTTAATTATTCTGTGGTGCTTCTGATGCAAAGAAAGAAAGAATAAAGACATATCAGTGCAATTTGTTTTCTCCTTCTAGTGGCAAGATAGTACGTTTTCATCATGTTGACTGACTTGCAATGTCCTGGTGTGTCTCTCTTTTGTGTGAGCGGAGTTGTTAATGACAGAACATTTTGAAGGTGATTAATTTATATGGCCACCATATGTCAGAAATGACATGAGAGCACAAAATTACAACTGTAACTGTAACTGTAACTCCCTCCTTCCATTCTTATAATTAATTTCTACGAACAGTGGTATGGTCAAATGTCACTTTGTCTCGTATTTTAGACCACTTTGGGAATGCGTTGGTTTACTTCATTTTCTGGCAACCACATGAGGTACATACATGGAGTACATACAATGTACAACATACAAGAGGACCAGCCCAGCCCAACCTTTAGCCATGCCTATCTGCACCTTTTAACATCCCAACAGGTTGTTCCACAGCCAACCCGATGCACAGCAGTTCTCCCTTTAGCCATGCCTATCTGCACCTTTTAAGGTCCCAACAGGGTTGTTCCACAGCCAACCCCCACAAGCTATCTCCCAACCCTTTGCAGAGGTTCTACTCTGTATATTTTGTATATCTTTTTTAAAAAAACAGCAACACTGCAATATTCTGAAACACCACAGGCTTACTGCATCTTCTTGGAAAGGAAAACAAGCACTGTCATCAGAGCTACATTTCTGAAATGTCCCTCAGCCTAGAGAACTGGAGTGCATGTAACTATTAGCTATAGACATGAGCTAGAAAACTGTTTGTTTGTGATGGTTTGTGGTTCTTGTCTAACCACGAACCCCCAGAAAAATGAACTGGTTTGCAGTTCGATTTTCCCGGTTTGTGCCTGGAGGGAACCACTTGTTCCTGCCGCCACTTCCTCTGCTGCCAACACCACCAAGGCCATGGGGGCAATGGGAAGGGGGCAGGCAGGCATCCCCTTTCGCCAAAGCAAACAAAACATCAAAGAGAAAAAAATGTTTGTTTTGTTTTGCTTCGGCAAAAAGGATCCGAGAACTGAGGCAGAAACGAACCACAAACAGCACAGTTCATCAGGTTTATTGGTTCATTTTGTGCCCATCTCTTATAACCATATTGTCATTCACTGGCCTTAGGGCTTGGCAACTGTTTTTTAGCTAAAGAAGCAGCACTAATATACGAGGACTGTTCTTAGGGTGCAATCAGATGTGGATTTGTCCTGCAGTTTGCTCCTTTACTACATGACATGTCAGCAGTCACAAAGCGGCTTATCCCTATTCTACACCTCCCTGTGCACTTTTGGGTCCCTGTCAGGGGCTATTTTCTTTCTTTTTCTTCTTCTTTTCTTTTAGCGGCTTATCCCTATTCTACACCTCCCTGCGCATTTTTGTGTCCCTGTCAGGGGCTATTTTCTTTCTTTCTTTTTCTTCTTATTTTCTTTTCCTTTCTTCTTCTTCTTCTTCTTTTTTTTTTGGTGCAGGTAGCATTGCTCTAGTTTGGTTCACTTCCATCATATATGATCACTGGGATTGAACCAAAGCAGATAGCTTAAATTGTCACTTTGCTTAAGCCACTTTACAATATTGAGAAATTGGAAGCTTCCTCCTGCTCCCCTCACAGAGAGGGAGAGAAAAGATGCAAAGATTTTTTTAAAGCTTGATACCTTGCCATCACACAATTCCTTACCCACTTCTTTCTAAAAATTAACAAAACACAGAACTGGCCTTTCATCTGCTCACTTTGATTCAGTGCACAGTATGTTTTCTTAATTGTTGCCTCCATGCTGCTTTATGGCCGATTTGTCTTCACAAATGGAAAACAGTCTTGAAGTTTATGTTTCTGGCCTAAGTCTGTACTGTGTACATTATTTCATCTTACTGTACTTTGATTCTGTTCAAGAGCAGAGCTGGTGATGGGGGGGGGGCGAAGACAACTGCCTCTTTTATTTTCCTTGCTTTGTATCAATTTTACAGCGCCTTAGAAACCCCAAATCCCAGTTCAAGGGAGATATTCAAACCATGAAAAATGTCTTTACAATATTTTTCTTGAAAATGTCTCCTAACATTCAGACCGTTTTTATTGGAAGGTGACTTTTTTTTCCATTGCAAAGGAGGAATCTTGTCTTACATGTACATTCACTCTAATTTTGGAAGAATGTATCTGTATTCAAAAAGGCAAAATGAAGTGCTATGATCCACCCAAATGGAAAACAAAGCAGAACAGCAGAAACACCATTTGGCCTCACAGGTCCCTCATCCCCCGGCCTCTCTTTCTACTTTGATCTAGCATGTTCTCAATATTAATCTTACATCTAAAAGTATTTTGAACACCAGGGCTGTCCCAAGGAAGAAGTAGGCAAAAGTTGGATCTTCTCTCAATCGGTCCAACCCATTCCTCTCAGGCTGCATTACTGAGTGGTTCCTACCCCAAGGCAAATAAAGAAAAATAATAGTTTGACTTGGGCATTTTAAGCAGCGGCACCCTTAGTGTGAAATAAACGTCTATCAGAAACTAGGCAGGTCCCCTCCCTACAGATCATTAGAAGATTAGTAAAGACAGAACTGTTTAAGGAGGCCTTTGGAAACATTTTAGCCTGATCAGTGAGACTTGTATGCTATTTTGTAGGTTAGGGTTTATGTAACTTGGTTTGATTTAAGTCATCAGGTGTCAATCTTAGGTCGCCTTTTCTTTTTTAGTTTGTGGTGTCATGCATTTTGGTTTTTT